ATCCATTAAAAAATGCTCACCGTACAAAAGTAGTCAGAGCGGCGGGTTCTTACAGGCATTGCGAGTTTATAGCAAGGCTCTCTTTTTTCTATCCATAACGAATAACTGGAAAATTGACTATGAAAAGAATGTACATCAGGCCCCGAGCCATTCTGACCCGAGTTAATGTCACGGGGTGAAAGGTACAAGTTCGCTGACTACGGAAGTCAAGGACGCTCAAAAATGCTGTAACCAAGCCTAACACCACTTAGTATGCAGGATCTCTATTACCATATCTTTATGGAAATGATGTCTACAATTTTCCGCCACCACTCTTCTTTTTACTATCACCTTCCGAATGGGAAAATTGTGGACACTGGTGTATTTTCACACGGAAGACTAAAAAAATATTTCGGTGGAAAAAAAAAGTCACCATTCTTCCAATCAAACGAGGAAAGCGTGCAATAATAAGTTGGGCTTCAGCTACACTTTGTCGTTGATTGTAAATATGATATCTCTTGACAAATATAAGCTATTTACTGGACCTCCTTCGACGACTTTGAATATATACATGTTTACATATAAGAATGAAGAGTGCCAGTAAAAAAATGAATTCAACTCCCTTTTGTTCATCTAGCAGAAGAGGAATGTCGGTTTGGCAGCCTTGGCCTGGCACATGCGCTCCGCACGCTTGTTTCCCACGATACGCTGCATTCGCAACAGATCCAGCCGCGTGAACAACGCGATCGACGATTTTCCGCCCGTATTGTCAGCGAATCCGTCATCGTTCTGTCCGGCGGTATCGCTACTCGGCAGCATATTCATCATCTCGGCGTAAAAATCTCCCATAACAGGAAGTCCATACCAGATCAGCTGGTGCACACCGCGAATCTGGAGCTGATGGTAGAAGTGGAAACGTTCCGTGTACAGCATGACATGGCAGTGGCCATGGAAGAACGACGTACGGGCACGAGATACCTGCTTGTTCGTCGTGTACTCACAGCACTGGACACTGCGGATCAGCTTTTTGTTCATCGAGTCGTTGAACAAGTTGCGTACACGCACATAGTCAAAGTAAGAAGGGATGAAGATCAGCACGTGTTTCCTTGGATGGTCCAGTAGCGGCTCAAACACGTGCTTCTTGAAGTAGGCAAAGCGCAGTTCCACTTCGTCCGCCGCACTGAGGCGGCCAGAGTGATCCAGATCCACACGCTGGAAGATCTGCTTCACTTGCGGTACTACCCGAGAGATCGAAGCGGAGCCGTCTGCCGCGTCGTATTGACGGGTATACTTGACGACTCCAGAGATGTTACGACACGTTTTGGTCACCAGAGCGTTAAGTGCAGGCTCTGCACCGTGCGCAAAGACAATAGTCTGTCTGAAATACGCAGCCAAGAAGGCCAAGTTCCACTCCCTGACTCGAGAGAAATCAGCGTTCGGCGCTTCTTTCGGCTGCAGATTCGTAGCGCGCAATACAGTGCGCAAGTGTTCCAAGTTCTGCATAGCCATCAGACTAGCCGAGTCAACGATACACACCTCGATAGTGGACAAAAAGTCACTCGACAACTTGACGTCGTCACTGGACTCGGCTTCATCCAACATGGCGACTTCATCTCCGAGTTGTTGACGCAGTCCAAGAGGAGACGCGATGATGAGGTCAGCGTGGTGATACTCGCTGTAGAAGCGAACGGCCTTGCGAGAGAACGACAAGCCCAACTGGAAACAATCGTCGTTGTTTCCCTGTCCAAACACTCGCTGCCATTCCTTCTTGTCTTCATCGTTAGAAGGCTCATCGTCGCCCTTAGCACTGCCGAATTCATTGAAGAAGCGGTCTTTATTGTGGAAGGTATCCACGTTCGAGGGCAGAAGCTCCAGTAATTGGTTCACGAACGCCACTGCAGAGCTACGCAGCGGTAGTAACACTAACACACTGGCACGACAGAAGCCCTGGTCACGGTACTCCTTCTCTTCTTCGCTTTGTTTCTTGATACGCTCGTTGTTACGTGTAACCGTATCACGAGCTTTTAGCACGTGATTCAGTACGTGCATTGCACTCAATTGACGCAGTTTCTCCGTGTTCTCGTACGTCTGGCCGGCGAAAAACACGTCTGTATACGCTGACATTTGCTGTGAGAGAGTATACTCCACTGACCCCTTAGAAAACGCCGTATCAGCGTCCAGGCCACGCTGCTTCCACGTTGTTAACAGCCTCGAACGCACATACTGTTTCTTCTTGTCCGCCGTCTCTGGAGCTGCCACGACACCGTCCAGTCCAGGGATCTCCGCAGCTCCAGTCCTGTATGTGATGTTATAAGAGTCCTCCTGTAAACTAGGTAAGGTAATTTTGGTGAACTTTCTCGTTTGTGCTTCGAATTTCTTGGCATCCTGTTCGGTAAACGAGCTTAACAGGTATCGACGACGATAAGGGTCTTCTTGTTCTTCTTGTTCTTTGTCTTCAAGCTGCATTTCGTCATCTTTCTCCATGGACGCAACCTGCTCTTCACCGTCTTTATTGTCACCGGTATTTTCTTCAACACTTTCGTTCTCTTCGTGTTCTTCTTCAATCTCGTCACCGTTCTCGTCCACCAACACTTCTTCATACTCTTCTTCTTCATCTTCTTCATCGTCTTCTTCAATGGGTTCAGCAGGTTTGAATGTGTTCACAAATTCATCAAACAACGAGTTTTTCTTGAGAACGTTCTCGTCGTCACTGTCACTGTCTTCACTCTGTGACTCTTCTTGTTCTTCTTCCTGTTGATCTTCTTCGTCGCTGTCTTTCTTGTAAATTGCGTTAGCTGTGCGCTCCCACGTCTCTTCGTATTGTTCTCGTTGCATTCTCTTCTTCTCGTCCACATTGGAGTAGAATTTACGAGCTTTAGTTCGCTCTGCAATCTTCTGAGTCTTCCACTGGCCCATCATGGACCCATTTTTGCGCGGTTTGACCTCATTTTCCTTGGATACGGCGCCGTGCTTGGCCTTCGGCTCAGCGTCGTCCCACACATTGGCCTTGCGCTTGCGGCTGCCCTTCTTCTTGCCTCCTCCCTTACGTGGGCCCATGGTGGTCAATGTACTGATGATACAGTGCAACTCAAATGGCTGGTCGAAAGAAAAGGCGTGACCGGATTGAATGAAATGATTTTCAGCCAATAGAATCTAGTGGTGTGGTGCACATAGACGACTTATTTTTAGTGATGAGCTTTGGCACCCTTTCGCGAAAGATGGCTACATTTGTGACACATTGAGCTTAGTGTTGGCGTTATTGAGAACTTGGCGATGGGAACGATGAACGCCGCGGAAGCGAGTGAAATTGTACACTGTATGAGCGACGAGGAAGACCAGCAGATGCAGGCTGCGAGGTTTCAGGCGCCCGACGGGGAAGATGCCGAGAATTGGGCGCTGCAGTCCGTGGCTAGTGTCCTGCAGCGAGTTCAAGAAGCTCCGGGCGATGAGTACGTAGACAACACACTGTAGCAGTATGTGGGTTTGGATCGATGTGACGATTTCTTTAACTGCATAGAGTGAGCGTGGAGCTGCTGGTGCGTCAACTGGAGCGACTACCAAAAGAGGCACGAGCTCAACAACTTGTTCGTCTGCTGCTCGAGTCACGAGAAGAATCCATCCCGAAACATGCTGTACTCGGTATTTGGGGCAAGCTAATATCCGGAAATAAAACCAGGACGTCAGGAAAAGCTAGAGCGAAAAGTGCGGCCAACATCCCCATCATTCGTAGTCGGTTCCTTGAGGTATGGCAATTTGGGATTATAAATTTCTCTTTAAAAAAATTACTTGACTCTAATTTTTTATATGTAGTCAAAACGAAAGCAGGCAGAGTGCGATCTCAAGTTACTCCAGAATCGAATTGCATTGCTTCAGGTGCGCTTTGACCTTGGTGTTATAGTTATACACAATACCTGACAGATTTCCTACATTAATCATGATAGCATGAAGAATCGAAAGCTTGGAAAAAAATTGCGCAGACAAAAGACCGAGCACAAGAAATCCTCGAAATGCGCCTAGCCACGTTGCAACGTAAAGAAGAAAAGTCAATGCACCAAATAGAGCTCGAACGACAATCTCGATCCGCACAGAAGAAGCAGAACGGGCTCAAGAAGGAGTCGGTGATTAAGAAGAAGCACGCAGCCATTCAGATTATCTCCAAGAAGTATCAAGATGTAGAGCAGGTAAAGTCAGAGAGCAAACGACTAAAAGCAGAGCGCGAGCGACTGCAGTTGTTGCAAGTAGAAGACGCACGAGCTAAGCGTCAGGCGATCAGACGACAGGAGGACGCTCTCAAAAAGAAAAAGCTACAAGAACGTCAGCAAGTTGATGAAGTTGCAGTCCTGCGTTTGATGAAAAAGGCTATAGCAGAGGAGCGACAGATTCGGGAGCATCGTAAAAAGGTAAAAGAGATGGAGGAGGCTGAGCGCTCGTTGATCCAAAGACTACAAGGCACTCAGTTGATACAACGAGAAGCCTACTCTGTACTTGAGCAAGCTCTATTGCGAACTGATCTCAAACGTGCTCATTCGGTCGCTCCGTTAGGAGACAGATGAGAAGAATCTTGCGTAAAGTACACGATTGTCTTCAATATGAAAAACCAACGTTCGATCAAAAACAAAGTTGTCATTATCCCCAGCTGCTGACTATCTTCATGTTCTGCGTCATTGCTGGAGCCGGGTTGCCACCTCTTTAGCCTTCTTTGCGTTTTTCATGTCTACGACATATTTCTTCACATAGTTTCTCCAGATTCGCATGATAAATCTCTCTTCTGCTGCCATACTGTCGTCTGCAGAATCCGTCTCGGCTCGACGCAAGAGCCGCCCACCATCAGTTAAGGTTCCACCGACGAAGGCAGACCCCTCTTCATCCCTGATCATGACCTTGGAATATTTGGTCGCGGGGATGGCAGTTCCACTAACGTAGAGAGTAGCAGAAAAAAATACCGTGATGACCTTGACGAGACCCATGCTGTTGTTATGTTTTTATCAAAGTCGCTGCGGGAGGTAGATTTTCGACTCTGTGAGTAAATTGCAAAATGAAGCTTACACCGTACATTTATAGTTTATGTGAAAGTCTTTGATCTGATACTCAAATGCACGTACCGTTTTTGTTAGGTCCAAACCCATACATGTACAACACGCCTGGTTCAAACAGTACGAAAAGTGTACCATTTTTCCAGATTATTTTTGTGATACATGTAGTATCGGAAAATAACCAATTAGAATACGTTCGTTATGAAATTGTGGGGAAACTGTAGTGCAATATTCGTACAACTTGCCACCTTTCCTCGTCTACCAGTTCGTGAAAGCGTTGTCTGGAGAGTGATCAGCACATCTGGTGTCTGCGTTACAAATAGCGCTTTTTGTTTTGCTTTTCTAATGGGGCAGAAACAGGTTGTGGGTTAGCCTTGAAATAGGATCGTGGCAACTAATCTCGTTGATTCTGTATATTAGATGCTGTCGATGCTTCATTCGGCACTGAAGGGCTCATTGGTGCTGATCAGGGAGCATCACGCTCGAACCAGAAGTTATTAGTAATGCTGTATGAGGGTCCGTCATCGGCTCCTTTTGGCAGGAGTATTTATAAGTGTATCACGGATTTGATAACAATCGAAATCGCTAATAGGATTGTAAATATAAAACTACAGTGTTTTACAGCATCATATACTTGAATAATTCTGGATACGGTGGTGGCTGTGATAGAGTTCGTTGATTACGGACAAGAGTACCATCATCCTAATCAACCTTCTAATTGTTGTAACTTTACGGTAAAGTTTACCGTACTGTTTGGAATTGTACCTACATGTATTGTGCCTTTCTGCCAAAACGCCCTCAGTTTTATGGTCCTACGTAGGAGTGTTGCCCTTACGGAAGACCTCCTATCTGATCGTGTGCTTCCGACTAAAATTTAGCCTAACCCTTTGACGAAAAAAAAAA